CTGCTCAGCACGTGTGGCTGGGTCTGCGCTGCTGAGAGGAGTGTAGGCAGTGTTTCAGTCCTGTGGCAGACATGGAAATGGGATCCCTTCTGAGTGTAGGACAAGGATTGTGTGAACATCTCAGAAGACAATTGAGGTACTTCTGAAAAGTGAGTGGAGGAAGCTTCTTCAGCTCCTTGTCAGTGATTACTTTGAAATGTCAGACAAAAATAGGGAAAACCAGAGAAAGGTACTGTGAATATTAATTCTTAATGAAGAATGTCTCTGCCATCTGATCTCAGCTGGTTTTGTTAAGACTCCTTACCCTCAAAAGACCTGTTTGAGATCAAGTTCCTTGTTTTGAAATATGTAGGTAGCATCTTTAATCTGTGCTTCCTCATTTTCTTTGCTGACTTCACACAGAAGTTGTTGCAGGGACTATGCAAATGTGAAAAGATAACTTTAAAGTTTGTCCCCAGAATTATAACGGAATTGCAGCTGAGATGACTCTCCACCATGAACCTTTTGATAGCTAATGATAATTTTCTTCTGTGTATTTATATCTCTCATGGACCAAGTTGTGGTCATACGGGGAGCACTCTGCGGCTTATTGGCCCACTCCCCAGGGGAATACGGCAGATGGAGTAAGCAGTATTTAAGGTTGATCATAACAATGAAATTAAGTTCTTAAGGTCTGAATTTAGCCTTAATGTTCAGTTCCTACACAGATGATGATGATAATGTCCCATACACTAGCCAGGTGGAAGGCCATTTATAAGGAAGGGTAAGGAAGAACTTGCATTTCATAGAATGACTGAAGAGATTATTTGCAGGGATAGCAATAACAGCTATAAATTTTGCTGCAAGTTATGTATAAGCTTGAGTTTTTGCACACTGTACTATCAGGTTCAAGATAGTGTTCAGTGAAAGAGATAAAAGCTAAAAAAACCCACAGAAAACTAGATAAATTCTTGAAGCTGCAGTGTGTGTGTGTGTGTGAGAGAGAAATGTCCAAAAAGGGCTGAGCTTACATGCATCTCCTTGTGACCTAACAATCATAGTACCACCGCTAATCTTTTAGATGACTTATTTACAACAACAGACTAAATGGAATAATTTTCAGCGTAGTTTAAATGGTACATTGTGGTTTCTTAAAAAAAAAGTATGTACTGCAAGCATATATGTTAAGTTCTCTTTCAAGGGAAGAAGTAGGTTGAGTGTTGGATGGAGAGGGTTTATTTTTCTGTGCAGCTGATGCATTGAACAAAACTATAAAAATGTTTCAATCGTTGTTTGTTAATGTGCAGCTGATGCATTGAACAAAACTATAAAAATGTTTCAATCATTGTTTGTTAATGTGTAGCTGAAAAAAGCAATATATGTTGACTGCTTGATTATTTCCAGGGCGTTGATAAAAGTTATGTCTCCTTGGCAGAAACATCATCATTTCATTTTGAAGGCTGCATAACAGAGTTTTTAGTTATTTCCCCATAGCTAATAGGAGTTTCATAGTGTAGATATTTCAGTTTGCTAACATCGTATACATGGAAATATTGACACATATTTACACTTGATGGTTTTTTCTATCATTTGCAGTTCTTTGTTAGAGCTATTAGAAGTTAATTCTTTAAGTTGATGAGTGTTTTACAGTTGGTTTTGTTTGGTTTTTTTTAAGTTCTGCAAGGGTGATAAAGATAAGGGTCATAGCGAAATGTGGATGGGCTGCTGCTCATATTTTCTTTGCCATGTATGAAATGTTACTTTTTCATGTTATTCTGAATTTTAAAATAATCTGCTTCTGTATAAGGATATCTATGATGTGGTGCATTCACAAGTTCCAACAAAGAATTGAAGATAATTCTTTGGTCAGATGTATGATTCTTACGTGAAATATATCATGGTGAAGAAAAAAAAAATCTAGGAATCTTGTTAAGTATTGTATATTAGCTCCCAAATACTTCATGTTACAATTGAGTTGCTACACAGAAAACTGGGATTTTTTGCATAAGGACTATTATGTACTGAGATTTGGTTATTTCCATATGTACTCTAGGAAATAATGAGAAATAGCATAATCTTCTGTTTTCCTATCATAATTCTCACAAATTCATAAAAATTGTGGACCTTGTTGTATTTCTGCATGTTTTAAAAGCATTGTCGGAAGGAATGTTTTCCATGACAAAAGTGTTTTGGCAGATATCTGTTAAATCCAGATTTTGATAAAGCGGGGCTCAGTTACAAGCCTATGAGTTTTGTGAACAGATCAAAAAACAGAAACAGTAAAACTGATTGTAAGTGCCTTTTAAAATGATAAAGTGAAGCTTATAGTAATTGGATTATGTATTTGCAAGCAGCAGAATTTAAGAGACAGGAATAGATTATATGTGAAGGAAAATGCTTTTTCTTTTAAAAATAAATCTCATGAAATAGTGTTCTTTCTTTCTTCGTGTTGGTCCCTGTTTTCCATGAAAGAAAATGGCTATCCTAATTGAGTCTTCTCCTGGATAACTCTTCAGTAGTTAATTGCCTTTGATTTTGGTAACTTACGATAAGAAAAACTGCCAAAGGTGTATTTAATTAATCTTAAGAAAGAGAACTGTTAGAGGAATTTTTGAGTGTGAATTACCATTTTCATGTAGGATAGCCTTAAGGATATTTTTGTACATTCAAAATTTGTATTTTTTTCTTAACTGTCTGGGTTGTGCCCAAGTAATCTTATTAATGCAAATTATTGTATATGGTAATTTATCTGCATTGAGAGTAATATCTATTAGGCTTCTAAGGTCAAAGGTAACATTGATTTTTGCCAGGCATCATTATTATTCAGATTGTATAGAATAAGTGCAACAATTAATATACTACTTCTTTTTTTCCAGATTTCTCAGGGGATAAAATTTTGCTTATTCATACCTTCTACTGTGTCAAAAATGGATTATTTTTCTCACCAAAAACCAGCAGCATGATGCCGCTCTGACACATGCCTCAAGGAACTCTTATTTAAAGTCTGTTGTAAGTAAGTCAAATTAAAAACTTGCTTAAAGGAAGCTTTAATCAGCTATGTATCTGTTTACAGCTCACGAATAAGCAGCCTTAACAGGAGAACTAAGTCTGGCTTTTAGCAGTCTGGCTTTCTAACAGCAGCTGTTTGTTCTTAAATGAAAGTATAAGAGGAAGTAACCTGCTATAAAACAGAGACTGAGGTTGAGCTGCTTCCTGAGTGCTGCATGCCTGTGTGTCACACCTGCGTGTGCTGTTCCTCTCCCCACACCCCCTATTAGAGGTTCACTGCAATACATTGCCAATCAGAAGCTATGGGGTTATGCATGAATAACATGATCAAAAATATTATCTGCATTGTAAATGAGGACTTAGACTCCTGTTGCTATGACAATTAATTTTAGAATCTGCAGTGTAGAAACAGGGGGCTAAACAACTCAAGATGTAACAAACAGCAAGTGGTTAAGCTGGTCTTCCTTGTGTTGGTTGGTGAGCTGCAGGCATTTTGTGGTGCCTAAAGGCCCAAGTGACTTGTTTTTAATGCAACGCAAACTTGAAAAAATGAATGAAACGCCACCTTGTATATATCAAATAATGGTTATTCAGACATCTTGCTTTTTACATACTGAAGTAAATTTTATGCATGCAGAGTATTTGCAGAGTATATGATCTGTGTTTTTGTGAGAGAAAACTGAATTAAGATTAGAGTTTTGTCCAGCATACCTTCTTTATTTAAAAGAAGGATGACATTTGGAGGAATATGTTCAATTCTTGCAGTGTCAGTAAAAATTTATAAATGAGGAAAAGGAGGAAAAAATAAGGAAAAAAAAAAAAGGAAAAAATTATGAATTAAGAAAATATCTGACTTGCTCATATTGCTTCTGTAGAGATTTATTCCAGTGGAGAGATTGATGTTACTTAATGAAACTGTGCATTTAATGGGAGGCCTCAGATTAACATTTAAAACTGTAATTGTTATATTTCTAGTACAGTAAGATGCTGCCTACTTCTTTATCACTCTTCCAGATAAGAGAATAATTGATATTTGAATCTGATTTAAAATGAGGGTCTTTGTTTTAGGGAAAGTCCAGTTTTGTCAGTGGCATTACATTTGTCTCTTGCACTGCTGCTTTCTGCCAGAAATTAACGCGCTACAAGGGCCCTTTTGAATAAAATAAGGGAGACATTGTGATTGCCATACGTTCATTCTCTTTATCTGTTGTCCTGTATGAAAGCAAACATGTTATAGCAATGGTGGTGTTTTATTCTGAAAAAATACTGATGAAGGGATGCAGAGGATTCTTACCTGGAACAGCTCTGTCTGTTGCTTGGCAGTTTGGGTTCTGGACCCCTTTTTCTGTGTATTTCTCGTTTGTCTATGACATTTTTTCCCTCTGAGAATGTAATAATTCTTGAGTAAGAACAATAGTGTTATTAAAACCCTCTGAAGCTCTGTGAAAATACAATTGTAGAAACGTTCCAGCAGAACATCTGACCACATGAATTAATCGTCCTGCCACGTGCACCTGACGTAGGACTGCTAGGCTGCCATCGGTGGTAGAGTGCAAGGAAAGCACCTCTCCGTTGTTAGCAGCGAGTGTGGGTGTTCCAGAACATTTTATGGGGACTCAGGTATTTTAAGGTATTGAGTGTCTCTAGCTTTCCATATTGTTTCTTCAGTGGGAGTGTGCCATAGCTATTAAATGCAGGGTAATCTCTTCAATTTTTCTTTTCTACTTTCTTTTATCTTAGCCTGCAATAATAGGTTATAACCTCTAATTCTTAAACAAATCGCCTCAAAAGATGATTTAGTGGTGTCCTTTATCAATAGTTCTAGCTTCAAATAATTCAAATAAATAAGCAGATAGTAGATATTTCAAATAGACAGCATTTGTGAAAACGGAAATGTAGTTCCATTTTTAAAATACTTCCCACTTGATCTCTGAACTTTGGTGGTATTCTTCCTAGAACTGAGCTTTAAATAGTTGAACAATTCTCTTCTCTTGGATAACAGTTCTTCTTCAATGGTTCCCATGGGAGTTTAGTGTATTTACTGAGGGTTCTTCAGCATAGCTTTCCTCATTCTCTAGTTTTTTCACTTGTGTGTCTAGTGTATCAGTTCAGGGCTTGTCTACACAAGGTACAGAGGAAAATTGATGCAATTCAACTAAAGCAGGAATTCAAAGAGGGCAGCTTAAATCCCTCCAAGTCTCTGTGTTCACTCTCCCATTCATAATTAAAGTGGCCTCCAGGGAATTTAGTGTAATTCACTTCGAAGGCAAGATGAGCCAAACCAAATTAAGGCCACATTTTATTCCCAGATGAAAGTGTTTGCGAAGGAATTTAATGGGTACGGACAAATACAGTTAAATTAATTTGAGTTAATTTTCCTGAGTTCCATTTTGTAGACAAAACCTTAGCAATAATGCCTCACTGGAGTTCTTATTTTACTTCTTTCTTGTTCTTCACCTTTTGTTGCTGTAACCTTATACCTGAGAAGGTAGATGGCCTGTAATTGTACTAGTCACTAAATGTCATCTTGTTATCTTACTTGTTTTGAGAGTCCATGTTTTATAATGAACGTATAAATACCCCACTTTGTCATCACGTCTAGTGCGCGTTGCCTTTTGCTGGGTAGTTATCATCCTAGTTTTTGGCTCCTTCAGCTAATGCCTTTTAACTCATCACTGTAACTACATCTGCTCTCAAGATCTTATCCATCCAGCAACTTTTTAAAGCATTTTTTACGGATTTTGCAGAACTGGGTGGTGATTATTGCAGAGAAGTTGAGACCACATGTCCTGCTGTGATGTAACCATGCGGTGCCTCGTAATGGAGTGATTTGCCACTGGTGGTAGAACTCGGCTGAATGCAGCTAATGTGAATGGAGTCAGATTAAAGGTGCTTGCACGATTTAGGAGCTGGGCTTCCTATCTGAGTACAGAGGCCTTAAGGAGTATTTTGGTGAAGTGTACAATAGTGTACAGATATCTTGTTTCTTTCATTGGAGTTCTGTGAGCAGCGTGGGTTTAGTTGTACAAAACAGATTGCAAAATTTAGGTCCACTTCATCTGTGATAAAAATGTTTAATATACATTCAGTTCTAGGGGAGATGTTCTTGTGACTGTGAGGTTAAAAACTGGCTTTTGTCTTTGTATTCTTGGCAGCTAAAACTGGAAGCTATTTGAAGAGGAGTCTGTTTAAAACAAAAAAGGTGCGAGGCTGGTGAAGTAATCTCTAATTTGAATGGGGTGAATATGAAGTGTAAAAGTAAAATACCTAAGAGATATGCTCTCTTTTAATTGGCCTTTAAAATTCTGTGTTACGGGAGTCTGAGCACAGGTATCTGCTCTGTGAGATCTGTTCTGAGAGTGTTTGGCTTAAGCAGCTTTATGTGTTGTGTGAAAAAGCTGCCTTGTGTCCCGTGATTTATGATCACATTTGAATTCCTGGAGGGCTGGAGTATCCTGCTGGTAGGCAGCATCAGTGCCATGGAAGTTAGGGCAATACTAGAGAGATTTTATACAAGTTGAAGGGCTGGAGTCTCTGGGAACAGTGAAATCAGTGCAAAAAGAGCTAGGACGTCCTGAGTGAACCAAAGGTGTGGAATATTTCTTTGTAACCAGTTTTATTGCTTGTCACTCCATCATCTGAGAGATATTTTGGTTAGGAAACAGAGTGAGCTTCTATTTGAGTGGGTTTATTGAGACACTGTGCATCTTTCCAACTAAAGTCATCAAGTCTGGGAAAACCTGTCTTGAGAACTGAAGAATTTTCTGGAAAAAAATGATGTCAGGATTTCTGTCCAGTTGTTTGTATTTGTTTATGGTCTTGTGCAGTCTTGACAAATCAAGGTCAACAAATAAATCCCCAAGTCCTGGATTTTTCAGTATTTCAGGTGTGATTCAGGTACCTAAATATGCACCTGATAAGTATTATAAGTAGAAATAAGTGATTCAGGTACCTTACTGACGCATAGACATGTATTGCCATTTTGCATGATCTGGGATAGCCACATGGAAATGGCAAATCTGACGCAGACCCATATGCTTCTGGAGCAGCAGCTGAAACTCAGAGGATACCATGTGATATCTAGAGTAGCACTAGCTACGTGCCTTTATGTACCTGAATTGATTTCTATGTGGTTTATTAGACCATACAGTCATGTTTTACATCTGCATTCTTCTCTTTGACATAACTGTTGAACCCCATGTGTTTGTTTTCCTCCTTCCAATTACCGGATCATGGTAAATAAATAAGTAAAACTGAACTACAAATCTGAACACCTTTCTTCATATAGCTAGAGATGCTTTTGAGAAACTTGCCAGCTAATTTCTGCTTTTGAATTTTGAGAATTGCACAATGTCATACACAGCTGTCATCAGTCAGGTTGGAATTTTAAAAGAGTTCACATTATATTGCTTCTGCTTTGGAATGGCTCTGAAATTGAGTTCTTCTGCCTGATTATTTTTTAGTTGATTTAAAAAAAAAAGATCATGCTTCCAGGATAAAATACTATAGTCATACTAATACTTGTTAAAAACCAACCAGCAAACAAAAAGAAAACAGAAATATACCTTTCAAAAATAATATTTTTTCTGCCACCCCCCAGAAAGATGGCTATTGCTGAAATTTTATCTGTCAGAATTCAAAGTTCCCATGTTTCAGTTTTGACTTAAGATGATCACCATGGTAGATTTGTCCAAGGATATATTTTATCAAAGTAATACATAAATAAACATTATTGATTTAGTGTAGTCACTCTAGTAGTGCATTGGTTGGGTAATACCCTCATCTGCAAATGGCACATGGCTTGTGGCAGTCTAAATATTGGTTTCTTATTGGTACACAAAAACCCCTTTGAATGACAGCAAATCTCTATGAAACATAGTTGTCAAATTGCTGGGCCATTTAAATTCAAAGGATCATGAAAAATAAGGAAACAAGCTATTCTTTCTGCAAGCAGTAAAATTCATTTAATTGTAAGTATACAAATGTATCAAGAAGGTAAGAACTAAGCGACAGGTGAATTTATGAAGGGCAGTACAGAGGTTTTCATCCATTGGTATTTAAACAAATACAGATGTTAAACTGCCAGAGTTTAAACCTTCAGGATTACAGAAACAAGCAAAGAACACTGAAGCAATTGTCAAATGTGAGACTAATTCAAAATAATTAACATTTTCAGAAATATTTGGAGGTTTTCAAATAAATGAATGTGAGCATTTCAGTAAAGAGATTATTTGGGTAACTTCTGTTTAACTCAAAACAGTGTTCTGAATAGAGTTATTTCCTTTTCATTTGCTGAAAACATGAAGTACGCTTTCATAATAATTCTTAACTATCCATTAGTAGTTGTTTGCATAATTATGCAAACTTTGGGTAAGGAGTTGCCTGTAGCTTTTGGAGAAGTTTATAGATTCAAAGTGAACAGGACAAGAATATACTTCATAACTGCCTCTGCACTGTGCAAACGCAGGGCGATCGCCTGCTTTGTAATCTGTAATGCCCTTTAGTTTCTGTAAACCAACAAACTGCATGAACAAGTAATATTGTAGTCCACCTATTACTTACACTTACTAGCTTGCACTGTGAAACGCAGGGTGATTGCCTGCTTTGTAATCTGTAATGCTCTTTAGTGTTCTGTAAACCAACAAACTGCATGAACAAGTAATATTGTAGTCCACCTATTACTTACACTTACTAGCTGTATAATTTTCACAACCAAAAAAGCCACCCCAAAAAAGCCCCAACATAAGAAAGGGTTGACTGCTGTTCTGTTACAAGCAGGAATTCACTCCAAGATGCCCACAAGTGACTATGCATTCAGAGATGCCTACTGGCTTTAGCAGCTAGGTAGATAAGTCAAGCCAGGCCTGTACGGTCAGGGGTAGAGGACCATCTTGATGTAGCAGGATAATAGGCAGTCTTGCTGAAACATGCTAGACTAAAAAGTTTAAAGGTATCTGCAGCAGACAACTTCGAGGTGTGAGTGCCAGTGTTATCTCCCATTCTTCTGCATCTGCTTTGTCAGAGCATGATCCCAAGTGGCATTTTCTGGCTGATTGGGATTAGTAGTTACAAGTGAAACATGGAAGGCCAGGATTTGTATGTGTACATCATTCTGCAAGTTTCTCAAGCCCAAATATGTTGTAATGCTTCAAAAGAAGATAAGATGATAAAACAGCTCTGGTCGTCCATACCAAAAAATTCAGCTATGCTGGAAGGTACCAGCAAAATTTAATTGTAGTGCAAAATAAGGATAAATAACAAGCCACATGGTAGTGTGTTGAAACATGCCTGTGCAGTTTATTGAGGTGCTAATTTAAGACTGAACTGGTTTTTGGTTGGGGTTGGTTTGTTTTTGGTTTGATTTTTTCATATTTGCATTGTGTATGGGGCATTGATGTTACTTGTAGACTTGCCTTCTGCCACCTTACTAATTGAAATAAAATATCCTTCTTACTGTCAACTGTCATTCTCTGAGCATAGTCTAAGAGGAAAAACAAGAATTGATCTAGGCTATTCCTTGTGAATCTGAGAGGAAAAAAAAACATTTCAGACCAGTGAGCAAATTTTACAGTTAGCGAAGAATACCCTCTCCTCTTTCTTAAATGATCATATGCTGTGGTCAGTCCGCAGAACACCTCTGCTCCCAGCTGCCCCCCTGTCATGTGAGAGAGCTTTTGATTTTTAAGTGTGGGGTTTTTTTGAAAATCAAAATTGTGGAGAAAGATCTAAAGTCCAAGGAGAGTGCTTGGTACTAAGGGAAACAAAAGAAAAATGATCATGTCAAAAGCTGTATTGCTCTTAGCAAGTAAAAGGCTACAACTGTCTTTGAACAGTTGGAGCTACAGCCGGAGTTGGAAACAGCAGTTTGGCTGAGCCCGAGCTGCAGATTCCAGGTAGAAACATGGACTGAATGGTGGTGATGCAGGCTGTGGCAGAACAGGTCTAATTTAATTACTAGAGGGAAATAAAAATGCAAGAAAAAACTCTTCGGTCCTCTTATAGGATACTTGGGACTTGTAAAATTCTTGGGGCAATGCTAAGGCAGGTGATTCAAATCAGTAGCAATTGGTCCATCACACTGCCCGGGGCATCAGAGCAGCACAGTCTTTGTATCTCTGATTTGGGTAAGATTTTGGCATGTGCTTAAAACTAAGCACGTGGTTCTGTGGGTTTCTGAACCACTACTACAGTGTTTTGTACAGAATTGCTTTAGATTAATGTCACTCAATATATACTTATAGTTTACACCATAAAACATCAATTAAATTTTTTAATTGCACAAGTCACACTGCAGGGAAATTAAAAAAAAAAAAGGCGGGGGGGAGCTGGTTTAATGCAATTGGTGAGCATCTTTCCACTGGCTTCCTAGAGCACTGAGTCTGGCCACGTTATTGATGGTGCTTATTTCATCCTTTCTTTGAAAATTATTAAATATCTAAGTTGCAGTTTAATCATTATGTCTTCCTGAGAGTTTGTCCACTGTGCATTCTCTGTGTGCTGTTTTCTTTCTATTCCTCACTTCTCTTTTGTCAGCGGTTTGTGTTCTGGAGGCATGGCATTTGCTTTAACATATTTGCTTTTGCTTCATTAGTTAGCCCTTTGCATCTCTTTTGGCCTTTTTGGAAAAAAATATCTTCATATTGTTTAACTGGATGAAGCTGTAATTTTGAAGAAGTCAAATTTAGATTCAGACGAAGAATGTTTACTTACAAGTATGGCTCAGTTTTAAGAGAGAGGTACTTAAAAGAGTAGAAAAGATAAAATTGTACTAAACTGATTTCAAGTCTTTTTAACCCATTTTAACATCTAGAAGCAATCAATATATCATCCTTAAATGCTTTTAAGATGTTTTCTGTTATACAACAAATTATCCCCTTTCACTGCTTCTTGTATTTGCATTGTTTAAATAAGAAATTATTTAGGGAAGAAATTTGGCTAGAAAGTGAGTGAAAAGGTCTTTATTGTGTTTTGAGGGTCAAGATGTTTCAATTCACATTTCGTTTGAAATGCCATTTGTGTATCATACGTGACACGTTTGAAAGGATAACTGCACGTATCTCTGTGTGTCTGTACTGTTCACCACAAGAGGAGTGATGCTGACTGGCAGGCGGGTATGGTATGGATGATTGTGTTAGTTCTCCTCCAGGTGCGTGTATTTAAAGTATCACTCTTGTGAAAGCTTTGACTAGCCATCCAGAGCAAAGGTGGTGGTGGTGGTTTCGTAGGTAAGAAGAGACTGTGTTCATCTGGCCACAGTAAGTCTGCTGGCCATCTGGATTCTGAGTCACTGCCTCCTTCTTTACAATTTATTTTATTTTCTTGCTTAGTAGTTTTTACTATTCCATCTGGGTGGGCTTTCACAGGTAATAGTAGTTTTCTGGCAAACATTTTTTTTAAGACTTTTTTTGTTGGGTTTTTCTTTGCTGTTTTTTCTCCCCTCTGAATTCTAGAGAGCTGAGAAAACAACTCCCTCTGGGGGGAAAAAAAATAGCCCTAGTTCAAATGTATACAGGGAGGATCTTACCCGCTCTGCTCCTTGCCGTCAGAGTGTAGAGCATGCATAGTTCAGGCTTTTTGTGAAGGTTTTTCTTCAGGGTGAGGTAGTACAGGTAACAGCCAGAGCACCTGCCACCTGTGATAATTACGAGTACAAAATGGGGTAGAGAGGTGGTGTTTGCTGCATGAAAACAAGAAAAATAGTTAGTACGTTGTTAGCAGTTAGTACTGACAGTTAGTAAAACACTGCTATAGTAGGGAACCTAGTATTTGAGTTTTGGGATCTTGGGGGGGTTCTGGAGGCTTTTTTGGCTGGGTTTTTTACTAGAGCTGTTAATGCTTGTGGGTTTGGTAGCACCACATTCATTATAATGTTTCAGGCACTTTGTGAGGCCTTACCTGTCGATGAGGAATGAGGTTCCACAGCAGGCTGCTCCTCAGTTGTGTGTGTAGCAGAGATTTTAGTTGCCTCTTACAGCATTGGATGTGCTTAATTCAGCACTATTGAAATCTGGAGTTTGCAGGGAACCTGGGCAGCAGTCCACCTCCAGTCAGCACGGTCCTGTGGATCTTACTTCATTTTTAAGTAATACAACGTAGTGAATCGTTGTTACTTCAAGCAATCAATGGTGGGCTGCTTCTGCTTTCTTGCATATTTAACATTCATTAACATGTTTAATCATTGATTTTTCCATCTTTTCAGACACATCTGTCTGAGTAAACACTATTAATGTATGTTGTGCTGTTAATTTAGGTCTGACGAGTAACAGGAAGAATTAAATAGCATGGATATTTTTGTGCAGGTGTGCTAGCAGTTGCAGGACCCAGAGCCTAGAGAATTTTATAGCATAGTGCAGAGGTATAGAGGGAGCATCTGACTAGAAAACATTTTCCTCACACTGCCATGGGTTTGGAAGGTCTGTATTGGGTGGTCTTCCTCGAACCCAACACAAGGCAGGTGTTTCCTACCTGCACAGCTACTGATCATTACATAGTGGAATGTGGATAGTATTTCATTTAAAATTACTTTTTTTCAGTAAAACTACAGCTAGCCTTATCTCTGGCTTTGTGGCACAAGCTATGTTTTCATCAGCTGCCAGTGCACAGGTATTGGCAGTTTTCTATATATGGAGAAATTTCTGTATTACCATAAAGAAAGAACCTCTTTTGTAGAAAAGATCTTCATAGGCAGCTTACATAACCTGTGCTGGGATGAGTTAATAATACAGTGCGTCTGTTGACATGGTTACTGTATGGGTTCTGAGGATCGTCTAATCAAGAGGCAGTTCTGAGGTGGTGGGTGATGTCGTAAATGCAGGAAGAGGTTGATCTTGTCTTCTGCTGTTAAAAGGATGTATTTTCAAATTCTACTGTTGAAAATACTGAAATAATGCTGATAGTGAGAGAACTTATTATTTGACTTCTTCAGGCTGATATGCACTTCAGTTTTCCAAATTTTTGGACAATCTAGCTCCCCCCATAGTGACTGTACTTGAGCGCCCATTTTAAATTTGCAGTCATTATACTACTGAGTCACTTCTGATTGTTATCTGAAATTCACTAATACTTTGGATCATTCACCTGCAGCAGGTTCACATGATCCATATGTTTCCCTCCTGCTGGTTAAGATTTATTTCATTCTTTCTCCTGAATGAGAGTTACTTAAAAATTAATTGTATTCTCTTTCTTGTGATCTTTTTGTGTGGATGTTAGTGCTGTTTAGTACAGTAGATCTACGTATGAGTATTTTTTTTAATAAAAGTAGCATTTTTGTCCTTAATTTGCAGTGAAATGGATTCAGTTGCTACAAAGCTTTGGCCATAATCCACTAAGGTAGTTCTCTTCCTGAACTGTCTGCATTCCTTTTTAACCAACATCTTCATTCTGTTACATTTTAGAAGTGTTTCCCTTGGCCAGTGGTGATCCAGATGTGCAGTCTGTGGTGCTGCACTGGACTTGCTCCAGTATGTCCATGTCTGTCTTGTGCTGGGGAGCTGGAGATGGACATAAAGCTCCAGATGAGTCTCATGCCAGGGCTGAAGAGAGGGGAGAGGATCACCTCCCCGGCTATCCTAATGCAGCCCAACATAATGATACAGGTGTATAAATAGTATAAAATGTAGAAGTACATGTAGAAGTGGTATAAAACATACAGTGGTACAGCGTAGGGGCCAGAAGACTGTGAAGTGGGTAGGATTAGCAACAAGGTAATCTGCTTTGTTACTGAAAAACATGGAATTGTGTAACCATATCCCACACACCGTCCGATTGTCGGAGTGAGCTGGGTTTTGCAGGCAGTCTTCATGGATGAGCTGAGAAGGACCCCACCCTCCTGGGGCAGGAGGTAAATGATGTTTGTATTCTCCCTGGGATATGGACTTGCAGAAAGAAGCAATTTCTAAGAAAGCAAAGGCATTCCATTTTTAAGGTTAAATAAATCCAGGTGATTGCACATTGAGTAGGAAAGGACTGTGTTTCATCTGGGGAACAGCGAAATCAACCGGTTTCCAATTTCTTTCACCATTTATTTCCTCTGTAGCTGTGGTACAAGCAAGAGCCAAACAGTATCATCTGCTGCCAGTAGGAAATCTCCATGCTAGTCCTTACCCTTGGCACATGGCAAAGTTGCAACTGAGCCTGTGAGGAGGAATCAACAGGAAAAATCTAATCCATGTTCAAAGGTAAACTTTGACCAATAATGAATAACAAGCATGAAAGTAAAACATATGCTTTTGCTCATGTTGTGTGTCATTTAACTTCATCCCATTTTCTTTGCTTTCCACTAATTCTGCAGCGTTGCAAGCGGGGTAGAAGTACGGAGATACCTTTAGTGTAACTGTGCTTTGAATGCCAGCTGTCTTAATAGCTTGTCTAGCACCAACTACTCTTGAAGGGCCTGCTTTAATTTTTACTTTATATTTCTAGAGAACCTTGCCTAAAAGGATGGGTTTCAGTTTTTCAGGAACAAAACAGTAGGTACAAAATGCAGTAGGGCAGATATATTTTTGTTAGCCATGGATTTGGCAAAAAAACGTCCCGTGCCAGAGATTTGTGTCACATTTCAGTCGAGGAACCGGAACCAGCTGAGACAAGCAGGAGCAGCCGCGACCTCTCCTCACAGAGGCCACTCCTGCAGCCCCCGCTGCCAGAACCTGGCCTCTGATGCCCGGTGCAGCGACACGTTGGTGTGATGCTGTCACGGTCAGCTGCTGTCACTTTGCCTCGGGACAGGCAAATCCTTCCAGGAAGGAAACCTGACATCCTCCACTTGTGTGAAAATGCGTTACATCACTGTGGACTATATTCTAAAATCCTGTTTCTTTTTCTCCTTGGCAGATGGATGCCTTCTAGCCACCCAGCGAGCCTCACTGCTGCTGCGTGTCTGGCAGCATCTCTGAATGTTCCCATGACCCTTGATATGGATGCAGTCCTGTCAGACTTTGTTCGGTCCACAGGGGCAGAGCCAGGTCTGGCCAGAGACTTATTGGAAGGTAAGCTTTCGGGACACAAGTATTTCTGATGTTCCCTGCTTGCTTAAAGCAAGAAACAGTTATAAAAAGAGAACTCTGGTCTATGGAAACAGACATCTCTTAGTATTTTGACAAGTCACCTCTTGTATTAAACTGACTGTAGTTTATACTAAGGTAGGTGTTTTCAGCAAAAGACTTAAAAAGTTCCTAGTGTTAGATTGCTCTATTTTAGGGTATTAACAGTCATGCCTTAAAAGTATACGTGCCAGGGAGAGAGGGGAGAGGGCTTTAGCTGAATTTTGTTGTTTTCAGCTGCCTAAAAGTCATTGTAAATGTTTTGGCTCACTGTGCAAAGCAGCTAAATTTAGTCTGAAATGGATTGTAAAGTTTAAATAAATTGTAAAGTGATACACAAACTGAAGATAGTTTTGCGGCCCAGTGATGAATGTGTATACCTGAACTTCATGGAGTGAGAGTCAAACGGCAGGGTTGAAAAACATCTGTAAGAATTTATATCAGAAAGGTAACTGGGTCTTTATTTTATTGTAGTTGTTTTAAGTTTATAAGGTTAAAAGTGGAAAGACACCTTTGATATTTGAAGAAATCTTGTAATAGTTCTGTTAATTTCTTCTGATGTAGGCTAACAACAATTGTGAAGACAGGAAGTTAGAAATGAGTGGGTGATATATATCTATGTAAATCACGAGGCAGTTCTGTGGGCTTGGTATGTGCACACTGGACTTTTTCCCTGAAGGTTGTTTTAGTTTTTGGTTTTTTGTTTTTTGGTTTTTTTTTTTTTCCGTCTTCATATGCTCTAAGACATTGTGTATTAGATCAAAGTAACTACTGAATGGCCACAGCAGCCTTAAAAGTATACATAAGGGTATATATGTCGTTTTTCTAAGAGCAATTTCACTTTATTGTATGTATGCTGACAGTTTTGAATTTTGCTATAAGTTCTTTTTTTTACTCCAGGTTTTTCAGTAATAAGAAATTATATATTATTAACACAGAGGTGCAGACAATTTTGCAGCATTTCCCAAGTCATCTATATTACATGGAATCAAACCTTAGAATACCTAGCTATGAATATCATCATTGGTTTGCTATATTTAAGAGACCTCTCTTTTGTCTGACTTACTTGATCAACCTGGCATTCTAGCCTAGAGTCTGTCTTGGTCTGTTGGTTTTTTTGAAAAAGAATGAGAGGAGGTTTTTCTCAGTAATGTCAGGACAGATTGTCAGTTATTGTGCTGATAGAGCATTGCCAAAAGTTGAAAAAGTGTTCCTATGTGTCAGAGGTAGTTCAGAGGAGTTATCTTGTTTACCTTGCTATGCAGGATAATGCTTCCAAATAAATAATAGAACAGTATTTTTCTGGGTTGTACTTCTCATTTCTGTAGACGAATAAATTCACACCATGCATATTAACATAGAAATAAGCAATTTAATTATTCTGAACAGGCTAATAGACATGTGAATCTAGCCCAAATTATTTCCTCCTACACAAGAATTTATTGAAGTAAAAGGGATTGTTGCTAGTTCTGGACAAGATGTGCTCACAGGAACATTTCAGCATATGCAGTTGTGGCTGCATTTGGTGTAGCAGCTTCTAATACTGGCCATATCTTATGTTGGGGGGCAGAAATTGATCCAGTGGTTTCTCATTTGTTTATAAAAGACACAGAAGGGACTGCCACCCTTACACCATTATAACTATCTTTTGTAGTTGTCACAGTGTGTAGATGCTCTGGGTTCTGTGAGCAGCACTGAAACCCATGAAGTAATTTCCTAAAGATAAACTGTGTTCAGAAGAGCAAGCACACCATGGTGCACAAGGCTATAGCAAATGTACTGCACCTGGTCTTGGAATGATGGTGATGAATTTTCAATTCAAAATTTGAAAATGGGTGTGCACAAATATTTTTGAGAAATTTCAAGATTTGGTTGTAGTTTGTAGCCCCAAAATGAGTGTCATAGAGAACTTTGAGCCAAAAAAGCTTGCTTGTATAGACCCTCATTTCCATGTAAACACAAGTTTTGGTCAGTTCTTCTAGGGTCCCATAGCCCTTCTCTCTTTCTGATCTGCACACAGATTCTATTTTTATAACTTACTCAGACTGAATGTTCATATTGTGCTTCTATGGAGTGTACACATTTTTCAGAGTAATTTCTAATACTGTTTCCTTTGTTCATCTTTTGGGGAAAATTTATTGAATTTCACTATCCTGTAGACAACCAAGAAAACCAGTTTCTGCTTCCTTATCCAGTTATTTTAATATATTAATTGTTCTGCTTTAGTTGTCTTCTGGATGCGTCAGGACAATATTGTACATAGTATGTGGTGTTCTCCGTGGCAACAAATGGGCGAGTTAACTACACACTGACTGTTGTACAAATAGCTAAAAAAATCTATGCATTGCATATAGGTTGCATATAGATTTTCTAAATTGCGAGAAGCTGTCCTAAATCTTGGCTCTCTTGATGTTTCTATACTCTGTCCTGCTGGGAAAATCCCTGCAGTTTTTTTCTGGTGAACTTTGTACTGAGCACAGCTGCTTCTCTCACTAAAACATTCCACTTGTGCTTGACACATATCTTCCAGAGAGTGTCCATTCTTGATTTAAAATGAAGATATAAAGAGATTTTTTTAAAAAAAAGAATATATATATGCACACACATATATTGGTTCTAATTTATTTGTGTCTGGTTCTTTTTGCCAGCTATTAGTATCCTAAAGTAAACAATACTGTAAACCAATTGGTTTTATATCTAATTTTGATATGCTAAACATGTTGAGCTCCAAGTCTCACTTTCTGTCTCTATATTTTTTCTGTCATTCAAGAGAAGGTATACAGAAATGTTTTGGCTATTTTGGTGTATAACTTTCTAGTGCAAAGATTGCCTTTTTTTGCAATTAAATTGCACATGCTGCTGTTTGTATCTTTGGCCAAGTTTGCTTTAGTATTGCACAGGGAGATAGTGGTCAAGTCTGTGCTCAGTTTGACATTTCAAAGTTACCAATTCTAGAATTCTGTGCAGTTGCTTAACTGTTAAGGAGTTCAGATTTCACAGACTTAAAATCTTACAGTCATTATTTCAATGGTATGAGAACTTTGTCATGCCCATCTGAACATGGATGTGAATGCAGACTTTCAAAGCTCCATCAAAATTAAAAATGGGTTTGTTTTTCTTAGTTGTGCATGAGAATTTTATTTTCATGGCATTGCTGTGTCTACGTTTAGAAAAGCCTTAGATCTGTCTAATCAGCTGTTCATTGGTGGATAAAATTGCCTTAGAAATGGCTTAGTTTGTGTTTGTCCAATGCGTGATTTGTATTTCATTCTTACTTTTCAAATACTACCTATTGAGTCTGAAAGGCCAGTTGTGGGTGACTTGCTGTTGCTCTTCATGTGATACAGCTCTGGGAAATTAGATGGACAAACTCGGAGAAAGTACAAGGAAAGGTATGTGGAGGCAAAAGGGGCTTAGCACTTAACAGCACATAGACATACATGTTAGTAAGTCATCTGTCTCACTGTTTGAGTTTCCTTGATGTTTTCTTGAGTTTTCTTGAGTATTGTAAAGAACCATCCTTCCATTACAGTTTATTGTGATACTTTGATAGATTTATGAACAGCCCATTTCTGCTGTTAAAGAAAACTTTTGAAATTTGAGATTACAATCTGATACATCATAGAGCTGTGTTACGATTGATTCAGTGATTTTTTTTTTCATTAAACTGTATATACATATTTCAAAACCAAGGCCTTTTCCCAACTGTTCAATATAGCAGTGGCGATAGTTATGACTGGATGTATTTTGTAATTGCGCACCATTTGTGTTAAATAATAATTAAGCATAGCAAAGAATGTTAGATTTATAGACATGTAGAGTTATACAGCTGGCATATCGTAAAGGATAGATTATGCTTTGTTTTCAAGCAGAGGTTCTGATAACACTAAATGGTTTACCTTATTACTCATGTGCATCTATTAAAGATATACAGCCATATGCGTAATCAGAGTTTATGCCACTCTCTGATGTGCTATGGGTGCTTAGTAACTCAGTTTAATGAGAGCTTAAAATTCTGACTTTATAGCTTTAAAGTGTGACTATTCCTTTCCCCTTTCTGCCCCCAGCTTTTTTTTTTTTTCTTGCTTTTGAACATCCCAATAACTGCTTGCCCACTTCTAGGATGAGAACCCAAGGTAGTTGAGATCATGAGAAAAATCCTTTTGTGGGGGTTATGTACAGCTAGGCCAAACAGCATCTTACCTCTCTTGGTTCAGGAGGCTCTCATTTATGCTTCTCTGTACTAGCGTAATTTTTTTTCTTGTGCCCACAGTGTGCCTGCATGCCTGAGCTATTTCTGGGCTGAATTCTCCAGATGATCTGTCTCCACATCAGAATCTGTCTTCCATCAGGAGCTGCAGTACTCTTTGTCCTCTCTGTTAGTTGCTGGCAGTATCTTGTGCATAGAACACTTGATGCCTGGTTTTGGTTGCTTGTTCTTCTTGGTACCTTTCTGTACTTTTTATACTGAAGGGCTTTTTCTACCTCTGCTCAGCACTCCTTGCTTTCTTTGTTTGAACGCTGTCCTGGACCACCCAGATTACTACCATTGTTCTTTTTCGGTTGAAAGAACAGCTTTCTACCAGCCTTGCCAAAATTCTTAGCTACTGTTACAGCTGAATTATTAAAATGGGAAGCACAGTTCTTTCAGCTTGGTTATGATTACAGGACTTTGCAATGTTCATCCTTGTTGTTTAGGACTCCAGGGAGGACACTTGGTTGATAGATATTTACATGTTCATCTCTAATCCTGCAGAGACTGTAAAGTAAACACCCATCAGGAATTACCTTTTGAGAGCCTGCACATGTACAGATAAGTGTCCTCAAATTCATGGCATCGTAAATCCTGATGTTTTTGTGTTAATAATTACAAGTCAAACAAAGAATGATGAGTATGTCCCTATGCAATAAAAGGACACCAAGAGCTATTTGCTGACTGTACCAGA